CGTTCTAATATAACGTTAAAAGCAGTAAGTAATAAGAAATGTACCGAACNTTAAAAACAAACAAGACTAAATTTAACTTCTAATATACCATTGGAAAGAGCACTCTTTATGCTACAAAAATCATCACTTTTTCATTTTGTTTCTAATATATAAAAAAAAAGGAACACAAAAATAGAAAATGATATTGCGCGACGATGAAGTTGCAAGAACTCCTTTTTTTACAGATGTTTAAGTTTTGGCTACTCTTACTTCGTAGATTTGCTCTAGAAAAACAAGCATGCTACAAATTTGTAGTTCAGACTTTTCTCTTTCTAACAAAAAAAAAAAATTTGATTAATTTATCAGTTAGCAATATTGTCTGACAGGGTTTGACATTTGTCCAAAGACTTTTGCATCGCATGTTATACAACTAAATTAAAGATTTAATTTGTTATAGTCGTTCTAATATAACGTTAAAAGCAGTAAGTAATAAGAAATGTACCGAACTAATCGTAAAAATTTAACTCAAAGAATTCATTTTATAAGAGATATAATCATAGAAAATAAAATCTATAATTGAATTCAATTATTTTATTGCTTATATTCCTAGATGAAATTTTCAACCAAAATGTTCTTCTATTCTGGTCACCAAATGATCGTTATTTGGCATTTATTAAAATAGATTTACAAGATGTTCCACAAGCAAATTTTCTTAAATATGATTTATTACTTGATAATAATGATCGATATTCAATCCCATATCCAAAATTTGGTGATACACTTCCATTACTTGATGTTTACATCTATAACATTCGATCAGGAAAAACTATACGTGTACCACGTCCAAAAGAATACGAGAAATTGTAATCAAAACAAAAAAAAAAAAACTAACAAAAAGAAACATTGTTTTTTATTCTTATTTTTCTATTTTTAGAAAATCTGATTTATATATTTACCATGTTGTTTGGTATTGTGATACATGTTTATCAATTGTTTATGGTAATCGTGCACAAAATTCCAGTATAATACAATTATATGAAATTCAAACAATAAATACTGATAATGATAAAATTATATTTAAAACACGTTATCTTGAAGAAACACAAAAAGGTACTTTATTAACACGTTTTCTTAAACCATTTTTTTCACCTATGGGTACATATGGCTTTATTATACGATTTGATCCATTAAATTTTGACAAAATAACACAAAAAGCTTATCCATATATTGTCCGAATACATTTTAATCAAACAGTATGTCAGAAGTTTTCTTATGAGGAAAGAAGATTCCTAAGCAATAAATCATTTTCAAGTTGAAACTATATTCAATCGATAGGGACTTAATGAATAATTGAACATTCTAAAATGATTCGAGTTGCTAGATTTTCCTTGATGAGATATCGAATTTTTTCATTAAGTCTTTACATAATATCAATTTTTAAAAAATTGATGCTTTCCCATGATTATATTATAAAAAAAAAACATGAATATTTTGAAAGATTAATATGTCAGAGATACTTGATAAAAAAATTCAGTTAGTTTTTCCAACAAATTATTCTAATCGATGTGTTTATGTCGGCCAAGTTTCAGATCAAAATTCAAAAGTATAATTTTGCTTGAAAACTAGGATCCTACAAGAAAAATTTTAAATCTCAGCAACAAAAGCTCAGCAGCTCGAACCATTCTAGAATATTTACCTATTTACTAGGTCCTATCGATTGAATGTAATCCCAGTTTGAAAACATTTTATCACATCGGAATCTTTCCTCGTTAATTAAAAAGAGAAACTAAGTATCTTGTTGCTTTTCTTTTTTTTAAGCATCCACAAATTGATGCAACATTATCAGCAGATATATGTGTTGATGAAATAATTTATGTTGATGATTTTAATCAAATATATTTTACTGCTTCACGTCAAAATAATACATTAGAACGACAAGTTTATCGGTAAGAAAAACAAAACGATTAAATAAAAACAAAAAAACATTTGATTTTTTATTGAATGACTTAAGATGGAATTATACGAATGATCAAATTGATGCCGAATGTTTATCATGTAATAATGGTAATGAATCATGTGGTTATGCTAATGCAAAATTTAGTCGTGGAAATGGTAGTTATTACATACTTGAATGTTATGGACCAACAATTCCTTATTCAACATTATATAGTCGAACGGAGAAACTTAGTAAAAACTTATTTGTATTTTATTTTTTTTTCTTTCTACATTTTAAATTTGATTTTTCTAGTTTTAGTTAATGAAAATGCTCCATTCCGAGCATGGATCCGTAATCGATTAATGCCTTATGTAGATTATTTTTCAGTTCCATTAGATAAAAAAAATACAGGTAAGAAAAAAAGAATAAAAAAAAAGCAACTTAAATAAAATTCTTTTTATATTTTATAAAAATTTATAGTCGGTCATGGAATGATTATTTTCCCTCCAAATTATAATCCAAATGTTACAATTGCATCATATCCTGTTATTGTATCAATGTATGATTTTAGAATAAAGTAAAATTAAGAATTTTTTTGCTTGTTTCTTTTATAGAAATGATCAATTATATGATCAACGAGTTACTAAAAAATTTGTTTTACCATTAGTAGAGTATGTTAAGAAAGAATATTAGCAGAAAGAAAATAATGATAAATATTTATTTTATATAGATTTGCTCATGTTACACAAGATAATATAAGTATTGTATTATTTGATTCACATGGTAGTACTGGACAAGATGAAAATTATTTAAAAATGACTGAATCGAATTGGTTTCAAAGTCAATATGATGATTATATGAAAGTTGCAAAGTATAAAAGAGAAAAAAATATAGAAAGAAAAAAGAATTTATTAATTTATATGAATTTATTTAGACATCTCAAAGAACATGAAAAGAAATTTAATGAAACATTAAATGCAACACGATTTGGACTAAAAGCAAGAGTAAGTTTTATTTTATTTTTTGTCTTTGTTATGGATGAAATTTCAAAAAACAAAAGAAAATCAATTTTAAATAATTAATACATAGGTTAGTCAATAAGTTCTCGGACTTTCAAATATTTATTCATAGAAAAAACATTTTACTAATCTTTTTACAGTAAATGTTCAAAGTAGTCCCCACGATGTTCAGTACAAAGTTTCATCCTTTTAATCCACTCCTGGAATGTCTTTCGGTATTCTTGAATAGATATTAAATTAAGCTCGTTGGTTATTGCTTTAGCTAAACTTGTAGCATCTGAATATGTATCAAGGCTGCGTTTCAGACAACCGAACAACCGAAAGTCTGAAGGAGTACGATCAGGTGACTATGGTAGATGAGCCATAACTTTCATTTTTTCCTCTTGAGCATAATAAAGATTGAGAACAATATCTTGAATATGTGATTTCGCAATTTTATAATGCAAATTTATGCTACTTGTTTTTGATGATGTTTTTTGTTATGTAAATTTTTGACTTAAATTTTCAAGTATTTATCACGATAGTTTATATGATAACTGTGTCTGAGATGGTAGTAACATAATCAATACTAATATGTGGATCATCATTCACTAGGTCCTGGATCGCATCAATATTTTGTTTAGTAATGACGGTTATTGGACGACTATTACGAGGATTATCTTCCAACGACTCTCGTCCACTTGAAAATCGATCAATCAAATGAGTAGCTGTACTATATGAAACAACACCTTGTCCATAAGCAGCAGTTAATTCATCATGCATCTGTATAGCATTTAAACCTAATAACCAACAAGTTTTTACATATAAGCGAATACAAAGTTTATGCATCTGAGAACAGAGCTGTTGAAAAAATTGATTAAAGATTTGTCATAATAGACACTTGTAAAACTTCGTATTGGTATTTTAATACATAACAGATTTCACTACTAGAATAGACCAACATCAGGAATAAAATCAATCAGGATGAAATTTTAGAGTACTATTACGAGAACTTTTTGACTATCCTATGTAAATGAAATTTTAGGGTCCTGCTGCAGTTATAGCATTAAAATTGCTAGAAAAATCAAATTCTGGAAAAGATGAATATATGTGTGCATTTCTTGAATCACCTGTTCATGATTTATCTCAGTATCGTAAGATGTTAAAAATTTCTATTTATTTTATTTAATGACTTAATCAATTTTTAAGATGCTGTTTTTACGGAACGTATCAATGGATTAGAAAAAAAGTCTAAGGCAGTAAGAAATAAAAAAAAAAAAAATTTTGATTAAATTATCCTTTTTGTCTTTACATTTGTTTTCAGTCTCATCGATATAATATTCGAAATAAAAGTATAGCTATTGTTCATGGAACAGCTGATGGTAAAATTTCGAAAATATTTCTATTAAAATTTAAAAGAACAAAAACAAAACAAAAAACAAATTTTCTTTCTTTTTAGAGGATGTTCATTTTAAACATTCAGCAACATTAGCTAAAACATTTATTGAATCAGGTGCCAATTTTCAATTCAAAGTAAAAAGATAATGTTAATTTTAATCAGAAACAAAACAAAAAAAAATCTTGTTTTTCTTCTAAAAAAAAAAAAAAAAAGGTTTATCCTGATGCTGATCATGATTTTGAAAAAAATCCAACCTTGCATGATGATTATTTTCATTTTCAACGTCAATTTTTTCAAGAATGTCTAGGTGGTCGTGTTAATAAAGAACGAAAATTAGTCATACCAGAAGAATACGATTAATTAAAGTAAATAAACAAATAATCATTTGTTTCTTCAAATTTTTGTCAACCCCGGTGTATACACATACACACATCGGAGAAAAGAAGAAAAAAAAGAGACATTTTATTTTAATTTTGTATATAATTTTATCATTCTTATATACATGTATTCAAATGTATTTTGTTCAGCTCAAATTTTGTTTTTCTAAGAGCTTATAACCTTAAACTGTAAATTTCGTTTTATTCTTTGCTTTGTTTGGTGTTTTATTTCCCAACGAAAAAGAAAAAGAAGCCAAAACAATGACAAACAATTGTTCAAAATAGAAATTAGATGAATGAAATTAAATCAATTAAATATCTGATGTTGTTGGCATATTAAGAAGATGAAGAGTTGAACGTTTTAATGGCCAAATCTAAATAAATTAATAAATTATTTCAACATTTGTTGTTACGTTTGTTTTTTTATTTACTCGTGCTAATGTTCGTCCTTCAATTAAACCAATTGGTAAAATTTTTATTTCTTGATGATTATCATTTGTTAATCGATTAATACCAATACTTCCTTTAGGAATCTATAATGAAATTATAGATAAAGATAAATAATCGAAGATTTATGCAAAATAAGGTTTACTTGAATAAATTTTCTTCTAGAATTTATTGATTCAGTATTTATAGTTTCATCTTGAAATGCTATAACACGACCAAAAATTATCTGTTGATGATTATCAAGTGATTTAGCACAAATTAAATTATTTCTATACTAAACAAAATAAATACAATGTAATGATAGATCTCAATTGTATTTTTATCATTGATATTAAATTTGTGTCATAGTTTTCAAATTACTAATGTAAAGAATTGTTTTTGATTCAATAGGGAAAAAAATTCTAATCGAAAATATCAAGATAACAGATTAATGATATTCTCGTGTCTTTTGTAAAGTTTATTAGTGTAGTCTCTTAGGGCTAAAATATGGAACTCAAATGTTTTCTATAGCTACATTATACTAACACAAACTACACAATAAGAAAAATCTCTAAAAGACTATATAGTAGTTTTCAATGATGATTGATCGTCAAAGAATGTTCTCATTGATTTATTTCTACATTTCAAACAGAGATTTATTTTCTTGACTGATGCTTCTTGTTTTATTGGTCTGACTGTTTATCTCCTTTCTATTGTGCATATTCATTATAACTACAACATATTATAAAGCGCTATTATGTATCTCATTAAACTAAGAAACATAAATATTAATTATCTCCAACAGTTAGAAGGGTATGGATTGTATGGTTTTATGCGGGTTGTATGACAACTGTAATAAATCAATTGATTGCTATCCATCATAATTGATATCTTTTATATAATTATTTATCTTCGGAAAAATCAGAACCTATGTTAATTAGAACATTGATAGTCAATTAAGTTTCAAGGACGATTTTAGAATGTTCTACAATCGGCAAAAATTTATTGTTAATGCCGTTCAGCACTTTTTTTTTCCGTCACTAAAGAATTATAGGAGACTATTTTGATGTTCGTTTGCTATGAAAAAATACTTAACGGCCTTAGATATTTATTTGATTCGATAGAAAAGGTCTATGCGGAGGAAGCCATCAAACTCTCGATATAAACTTATATTCATTATTTTTCTTTGAAAAATATAATGTAAGTTTTATTCGAACATTCGTTCATTAAAAGTATAAATAGGCTGAAAATAAAATAGAAATAGTTTGCTTGAACTACGTAGAAAATGTTATGAAAATATATGATTTTTTTATAATTATTGATTCATCATATATACAGAAAAACTAGAACAAATTAATACGTTAGAGAATTCAACATGAATGAAACTTTCCTCAGAACTTTGACATTAATCTTTATTTACATACACTACACCAACAGCAAATAATACAGAGCTATTAATAGATATATTGTTTTCTCAAAGAATTATCTATTCAATTACTCTACAACTGTGACAACATAATCAATTAGGGTTTTGTATAATATTCTTATGAAATCCTGGAACAACGAATAAAAATTTTTTCATTTTATCAAATAATACCTATTTATTTTTAATCGATTCCATACATCCAAAATAACAATATCACCTGATTTAAATAATTCATTCTCATCATTTTTTATATAAATAAAATCAATAAAAAATCGTTGCATACAATAACATGTTACTCCTCCATATAAATACCAACCAAATGATTTTATTAATTGTCTCATTGTAACATCTACAAATTAAAAAAAAATCTATTTATCTTTTTTCTGATTTAGTGTGTCGCATACATATATATATCCAGAATAATTTTTTTGTACAAACACACTGCCAAGATGCAAGATGAACAAGTTAAACATACACACACATATATTTAATATGAACAGGAAGAACAAAAAAAAAAAATAATAATAAATAAAGAACGAGAGAGAAGAAAGACAAAAAAAAGAAAGAAGATCTATTATGTTTTTGTACAACCTGTACACAGTACTTATTCACAATAATATTAATAAATAAATGCAGATAGACACATGCACATAGAAAGAAGATCATCGGTTGACAAAAGGTTTGTGACAGGAGACAATCAAAACATACACATATCTGACATTTCTCTCTTGTTATTGTATTTTTTTTTCATCAATGAACAGTAACAATAATAATACAAGAAAAATAAAGAATAGCAAAAAAGAAAATTTTTTTAACTGTAAGTTTTAATCTGACTTTAGATAGAAAAGAACACCGGAGAAAAAAGAATGTTGCTTATTATTCTGTTTTTCATTTAATCTTCTGTTCCACTACTGTCAAATTTAAATTGAAGTGGAGATTTTCGACTAAAACAGAAAAATAAAAAAACCAAACGAAAACGAAAAATAATAAGAACTTACAAATAAAAATGATCAACATTCATTGACTCATTTGAATCAGTAGGAAAAAGACGAACTCGAAGTGGATCACCAACAACAGGTGATGGTGTTCTTATAAAAAGAAAAATAAGATATTTTTTAATAAAATAATAATAAATAAAAGACATGAAACATATTCTGACAAAAATACAATAAGATTCCTTAATATTGAATTTATTACAAATATAAAGTTATTTGAATTTGCTATAGATTTTTTAAGAGGAAACCTTTTTATTGAATTTAACTTTAATAAAAGAAATTATTCATTTAAGGTACTGATTTTAATTCTTTACATTGATAATTGAAGTCAATTAGAAAAATGATGAAAAACAAATCAAAAATATAAAATAATACGAAATTAATTTATTTTCTTTCAAGAATTTAATCAGACAAACATAGAATCTTTTGAGATTCGTCATAATCTCAGTAGAAGTGATACCTAAGCGAATTACTCAAGCTGTAACCTACCATTTGAACTTATATTTAACCCATAAGAAGATCTTGACAAGATTAGAAAAAAATTAAAATGGCTCATCACTCTAAGAGTATTTGAAGTTGAGTTATGGCCATTGTACTGAACTTTTAACTCGTTTTTTAGGTATTTACTGAAAAAATAAAAAAAACCGAGAATTTCGAGATGAAACTTCGCCCAAATATAGATCTAACCTCTCTTAGAATGTCCTAAAAGTTGCAGCTAAGAAAAAAAAATTCCCTTGTCAATTTATTAAATTTTCAAGCAAACTCTATTTTTACGACAAATCTATGGCCAACGACCATTGGTTGGAAGTTCAATATCTTAGTAGAGGGACACACCTTTCCGACTGAAACTTTTAAAATATTCCAAGAACTACTAAATATATCTATGAGAAAAATTTCATTCTTTTAAATTGTCCAGTGAATACCTCAAAATTCAGTAAAATAATCATAATTTGGCCCTGACAACAAATACTTTTAGACTTTTGTTAGTCTTATCGAAATTCTCTTTTAGATCTAAAATGAGTTCGAGCAACGAGTTACAATTGGGATAGTTCCTTCGTCAATCGGACTGAGACTAGCACATACCTATCTGAAATCCAATTTTTCTATTGAATAAAACTTTCAAACAGATTTCGTATTACAACGAAATCTTTATACTTACACTCGAGAAACATCATGAAAAGAATGAGGTCGAAGTTCATCTATAAAAGAAAACGATCTAAACACTTTACAAAAAAAAAAAATCATTTCATACAAACCATCTGAATGTTCATCATGATAACCACAATAATTTGGTGGTCGTTTCGGTTTTTTAATAGGTGTATGACAACCATGACTAGCAGGAGAATCATTTCCACCAGTTGATGAAACAGTCTATCATAAACAAAACAAAATTTTATTTTTGTATTTAATTTGTATTTTAATATTATACATGTTCATGTCGACGTTGATTAAATGCAAATGGTGATGGAATATGACAAATCTATACAATGAAAAAAAAAACAAAAAACAAATATTTCTATATGTATATCTCTTTTATTTACTTGATCACGAATTGTTGGACTATCAAGAATATCTTTTGCTGATGGTCGTATTTTATAATCACTATGTATCATTCGAAATAAAAGTTGTTTTAATGTAATATCAGTTAAAACTATAGATAAAAGAAAATTAATTATTTCGACAAAACAAAAATAAATCTATACCTGATACAATTTCTGTTGGTAATTTTAATTCACGTATATTTGTCCAAAGATCGCCTGTTATAGGCATATCATAATCACTAACTAATTCAAGTGCTGCCATGCCTAAACTAAATACATCAGCTGCTGTTGATATTGTACCTGAAAGAACTTCAAATGCAAGATAACGTGCATCACCATCTTGTGCTAAAGTTGATGCCTAAAATAAACATTTTTCAATAGATTTTTTTTTTCATGATTTAGAAAATTTTTTTTTTTCGATTTTCTTACACTTCGTAAATCATGTACAATACCAAAATCACAAAGTTTAAGAATACCATCATGTGTCATTAAGACATTTTCTGGTTTAACCTTTAATACAAAAGAAAAAACAAATTAATTATTTACTTGGTTTTTTATCATTTAAACTTACATCCATATGAACATAATATAAAGAATGAAGAAAATCAAGAGCCTTGAAAAAAAAAAAACAACATAATTTTAATATAAAATTAGAAATTATTTTTCTTTTCTTTACTTGACTAATTTGATAGAGAAAATGCCAAGTCATTGATTGTGTCATGGGATTTTCTGCTGAATATTCCAATAAACTTTAAAGAATAAAAATTATAACTAACATTTAAATCAAATTTTATTTTTACTTACTTAGTTTCACAAAGTTCTGTTTGAATATATAAACGGTCACGTTCTTCCCATGCATGAATTATTTTAAGAATATTTCTATGTGTTGCAAGTGCTTCATGAAAACGAACTTCTTTTAATTTTTGATCACTAATTTCAAAAAAATTAATAAATTCAAATAAAATAAACAAAACATTTAATTTAAGGATAGCTTTTCTCTTCTTTCGTGACCTAAAACTTTTGTGATCATTGTATAGTCTATCGGTCGAGTATATTTTAAGATATAGTAATTGTCTTTGAATGTCGAAAAGATTCGAGATGAAATTAAATTTATGTTACGAAAATAGCAAATCGCATTTTTCGTAAATGAACTTTTCATGAAAAACAGAAGTAGTGCCCTCGTTTCTGTAATACGATGCGTCTAATAAAACTGAAACTTTTTTTCACATGTATTATACACTGTTTGGGATGTGTATTTTCTTTTCCTTTCAAAAAAAAAACAGGCGTTTTGTAGGATATCTTCGATATTTTGGATTTTTTTTTTCATTCGAAGGACAAAAAATAAAAAGATACCCATCCCAATCAGTGTCTAGTGTCTATAAAAAGAATTTTCAGCTCGATTGAACATAGCATTTCGTAGAAACGATATGGATACAGTGTGATCTTAGCTTTTCATAGAAGACAGTATCCGAGAACTTTAACGGAAAACTCAGCGAGATATCCTTAAACAAAAATTTTTGTACCGATCAAATTTGCCACGAAATTTAGTTAATGAACGTTTAATAGCATATAATTGATTATCTTCTTTATGACGAACTTTATAAACCTTAAAATATTAAAAAAAAAAATATTAACAAAAATCCCACGTGTATCTCTCTCACTTCAGCAAATGAACCACGGCCGAGACATTCAAGATGTTCGAAACATTGATCCCAATAAGCAGAAGTATCTGATTTTGTATAAAATGGACTTTCCAATGCTAAAAATATTTTATCATAGAAGGAAAATATATTTTGAATAATAATAAAAAAAAATACATACCCACACCATAAGAATCTGTGCTAACTGAAACTGCACTTGATGATCTGGCGGCAGCAGCTGGTGTAAAATATCGAAAAACACGACATGAAACAGGTTTTGGTGGTTTATTTAATGTTGCACCACGACGACTTGCCTAAAAGAAATAAAAAGAAAAAGAAATAATTAGAACAAAAAGCAAAACACTTGATCTACTTTTTTGCTAGAGAATACATAAAATGAATTATTTGATGTACGCTCAGGTGAAAAAATCAATTCAGTTTCGGTGGTCATCCTTGTCTCATGTGACAAGGTCATCAAAACAGAATCTGAAATATTTTAATATAATTATAATTTATATATATATATTAAATCAATGTATAAAACAATTCATGTTTAAATAATATTTTTATTATATATATTACGTGTAAATTTAGTTTTTACTTCTACTATTGAAATGCAATTATGATTGACACATTTGAAACAATGTTTGTTCTAATTGAAATTTTAATATATATATCAATGAAATTTTTCGAATTCAATATTGCAAACATATTGTTTCAGAGTTTTCAAGAAGTTCATCAATATTGCTCAATGGTAAATCATTTTATCTCATATATTATGCTCAGTCCCAAGAGAATAAAGTTAATTTTAGTAGCAAATGTATATATAAATAATATTGCTTGATTTTTAAATAAACAAAAAGAAAAAGTTTCATTCAATTTATAAAGTTTCACCACAAACAAAAAAACATTTTTATGTTTGACACAAATATTATCGAAGAAAGCGCCAAAAAACAAGAAAAGGCATTTATTAACGTCTGATTTGCTGCTTGTAACTAACGTAAAAAAAAGTATATAAATTGAATGTTACAAACAACCACAAAAAATAAGAAATATAACTGTCTGATTATTCATTTCAATGAGAATGTTTTAGTTCTGATGTTTTTATTATTTAGATGGTAATGGATGTAAACCATGTAAGTGACGATCAAGATTAGCTTCAGCTGCTTTTTCTGGAATAACAGTATCACCATGTGAGTTCATTCCATTTAAATTGCTAGTTGTAACTACATGTTTTGTTATCATATGTTCAACAACAGCTTCTTTTTCTGGTGCAAGTGTACCTTCCACAGCTGCTTTAGCTGGCAATTTTGTATTACCATGTTTGTCCATACCTTGTTTATTGGTTGCCATGCTTTATCTTATTTTTTTTCTTTTTTTTTCTTTTTCTTTTCTTTGATAAACAAAATAGTTTTGAGATCTAAAAATGACATACAGACATTTTTGATTTTTTTCTTTTTTGTCATCTCATTATTGTATAAATTCTATTTTTTGATTTTTAAGTTTTTCATGTCACACACACATAGCAAAAGAAGAGAAAAAACGAATGGAGAAAGAACGAAGAACAAGAAAAAAGACAAACAGAAAAGAGACAGTAGAGAGACGGTAGTTCTGTTGATGGTAACACCCGTATATAGATGACGACGACAATAAAAAAAAATTCAACAAATAAGCGCGACATTGTGTGTGCATGCGTGAATGTTAATGTACGAGAGAGAGAGAGAGAAAAAAAATAGAGAACAACATCAATAACAACAACAGAAGAAAAACGAAGAGAAAAATACAATCAGTCAAAAAAAAAAGAAAGAAAGAAAGAAAGAAGATGCCCGTAGACAAACAAACAAAAGGAGTAAAGAAAAAAAAGAGATTCTTTGTCTGTACACAGGTTCAGATTAGAAAATAGGAGATAAATAATAATGAAAGATGTCTCACAAACAACGTGAGATACATTTTATTTTGAAAACTTTCTCTTCTTTTTCTTTCTTTGATTAAGAACACCAATAAGGAGGTGGTTGTACACCGTCTACATTAAGATTTGATGGTGGTAATTGAAGATCATTAAATTGTGATGAAAATGTTGGATCATTTGTTGACATTGTATTCATTGCTGCAAATTGCTGTTGAGAAGAAAACATTGTACTATTACCATTTGATCCTGATAGACCCTGTTGTTGTTGTTGTTGTTGTTGTGAATCAGAACCATTAGCTGATGATGCATGATAATGAATTGTGCCTGGCTGAAGTTCAGGCGGTGGTCCACCAGGACCTAAATTTTGAATATTTAATTGCTGTATAGACATTGTTGTTGATACATATGTATTATTGATGGATTGTGGTGGTGGTGGTGGCGGTCGACCATCATTTGGATGCATTGGATGATGATGCATTTGTGGATGTGGATGCATATGTGGATGCATATGTGGATGATGCGGATGATGTGATGGTGGTGGTGGTCCCATACAAAAACCATCATCCATCATAGGTAAAAAACGCATATGTTGTTGGTGATGACCAGGTGGTGGGCCTAATAGTGGATCCATATTATGCATTTTCATATAATGTGGTGGTGGTAAATGATGATGTTGTTGCATTGGATCAGATGATGGTGGTAAGCCTTTTGATGAACGTGGTGGACCACCAGGATGTGAAAGCATCATTCCCGATGGATCGAGTGTATGATGTGGAGACATCATTTTATACATATGTGGATGTGATGGTTGGGGCGGTAAATTTCCACCATGATGTGGATTATAATGTGGTGGCATTGATTCTGGTGGAGCTAACATTCGATGATGTGGATTCATATTCTAAAGAAAATTTCGAAAGCAAAAATATATGTATTGTATTTATCGTAGTTTTTCTAAATATTCGTACTTGAAATTGCATATGTTGTTGATGTTGTGGTGGTAAAGACATATGAGATGGTGATGGTAAGTGATCCATTGATTTCGACATATGTGGCATATTTGGATTAGTTAATGATGGTCCATTACCAGTTATATTCGATGATAATGATGATTTTGAACCAGTATTATTTGATGAATTATATGGTGAATTAGCTGATTGTAAACTATTTGTCATTTGTAACATACTACTTAATGGTGGTGCCATATTTGATGTTGGTGTTTTTGGACCACTATTCATATCTAATGGTTCATCTTTAGTTGATGAATTATTATTTGAAAGCATTAATGGTGATGATAAACTACTATTTGAAGTTAATTTAGCTGGACGTGGTGATGCAGCTGATACATTTTGTGGTGTAAGATGTGATGATGGTCCTTGCTGTGAAAGATGTGTAGGTGTTGTTGAACCAACTGGCTGTTGTGCAGATGATAATGAATTTGTATTTGGTGTTGAATTTGAACGCGTTAACGGTGTCATTGGTTCATCCTTACATGATGATGATGACGATGATGATGGTAATGGAGGACCATTATTAATTCCATTTGTGGGTCGATAAGCTCGATTTAAATGTCTAGTAATAACTAATTCTTCACCTTCCATACCTAAGAAAGAAAAAAGTTAATATTAATAAAAAAAAAGAAAATGAAAAGTAAATTTTAATTAAATTAATCTACCTAATTCATTATAATCCATTTGGGTTGGTGATGCTGTTAGTTGTACTTCACCAATATTACCAGTTATTTTTTTATTCGCTGATGATGGCAATGAATCAGGAATAAATTTTTCAGGTTGTCCAACTTTATACAGACGTGGTGTTGTTGATGGTTCCATTTTTGGTGAAAGCAATTTACCATTAGGTCCCATACCACTTCCTGTTGATGTTGTTGCAATAGGAGGTGTTAATGAGGATGGTGATGCAGAAGAATATGGTGGTGGTTGTCCACGCATTTGCACTTTTCCTTCATTATGTTCCATTTGCATTTTATTCCACTCTCGTACAGCTTGTGATTGTTGAAGGGGTGGAGGTATTTGTCCATACGGATCGCCTGGTCCTGGTCCATATTGTCCATGAAAATTAGGTGGCATTGGTCCATTCATATAACCATGTGGTGGGGGTGGACCATTCATATCAAGCATCATTCCATCGGGTGCTCGCATACCTGGATGTAACATATGAGGTGGTGGTGGTCCAATTCCCATCATATGATGTGGTGGACCAACACCATGTGGACTGTTCATCATCATCATTTGCTGTTGATGTGGATCAAGTGAACCTGGTGGTAATGGACCACCGTTAACCGGTGATGGAATATTGCCAACAGCTGTTGCAGCCGCATTTGCTGCAGCGTTTGCTTTCGCTCTACCACCACGACTTCGTCCACCTGTAATCTTTGTTTTTAAATCTTCTATTTTATTTAATTGATTTTTTCGATGTTTTGCACGTTCAGGTGTTAAATTTTCAATACCATCTGATGGTGGTTGACCATTCATAATAAGTGCACCAGGTGGTAATAGATGACTTGGTGGTGGTAAACCACCAGGACCGGGTGTTAAACGACCAAATGGTGGTTGTTGTTGATGTGGATGAAAATGTGGATGTGACCAATTCGGTGGTGGACCACCATTACCATTATGATGTAGTAAATGTGGATTATGAGGTATTAGCCCGCCCATCATCATTTGCATAGTACGAGGCGAATGACAGCCGGGTGGTGGTGGTGGACCATGATTCATATGCATTGGACCACCAAGTAATGAATTATGACTATTGTTCATATTATTTGAAAGAGACTATGATAAAAAACATAATTTATTAATATTTTCTAAAAACGAAAAATGATTTTACTTACAGCTAAATATTGACCAGTTGAAGGTAATGATTTATGATATTCAATTATATTAGGACATTCATTTTTTAATACAGCTTCAGCTGCTTCATTAGCCAATTGTGTTGTAAATACAAAGACTTGATTATTTGTCTGTAAAAATGGACTATCACTGGTAATTGTATATTGATTGCGTGGTGACATTGGCATGTAAGATGACGGTGGTGGTGCATGTAGAATTTGCTGTTGTTGTTGTTGTAAAGATGGTGGTGGTGGTGTTCGTTGTGTAAGTAATGACGGATTTGGTGTAGTACTACCGGTATTATTATTATTATTATTACTTGGTGGGCCGAAATCAAATGATGAGCTGTTATCATTGCCATTCCGAGACGGAGTTGAAGAGGATTGTGGCGGTAGAGGACCATTTGATAAAGCTAAAAAACAAAGATAAAATATGTATGTAATGGATTATTCTTTTGAAAATAACAAAAATAAAAAAGGTTTCTTACGAGTTCCTGTTCTACTAAGTGATCGTTCTGAATCGACTTGCTCAATTTTTTGTGGTTTTAAAGATGATGGATCAAAATCAGTTGATGATGGATCAACAAGTTCATCAAGTTTTCGTTTATTTGTTTTATTATTTATTTGTATTGATTGTCTTGAAGAAAATATATCAGAATATGGATTCATTGGTGAATCAGATGATGATATTTGGTGAATTGATTCATTTGAATGTAATAACATTGTTGGTGGCGGTAATGTTCCACTCTCCATCTCATTATTTACTAAAAAACTAATTTATATACATATCAATAAATAGAAATATCAAAAAACAAAACTAAACTAAAAAAACTAACACATACTACTATTATCAGAATGTGATTGCCAATTATTAATATATAGGTGTTGTTGTTGTGCAGTAGTAGTTATAACTGATGCAGCCGATTTGGCTTTTCTTGTATTGTTTTTCATTCGTATTGGTCCTGTACATTTGTTATTATTCGATCTGAAATAAACATCGAAGTTTAACACAAAAGATAAGATTCTTCTTTTTTTTTTTTGTTTTTTCTCTCGTCTTTGTTGACGCCAAACAAGCAAAAGTGCGTTCACATGCGACACGTTCACAACATCTCGTTCACGTACGTACATCATGGGAGGAGAAGAAGAATGTCAAAAAAGAACAAATAACGGGTTGGCTCTCTCTCTCTCCCCCTTTCCTACGTTCAATCTGCCGTCCGATCGTACGTGCTCTGTCTCTCTTCTTCCATTCATCGTGCTCGTTTGCCAACCACATAGAACAACTGTTCAAACTGAAAAGTGAAGAGGAAAAAAAAAGAAGAGGAAAGAAGAACGCTAGTGTATGTATGTGCATGAGTGCGTTGAACATCGTTCATACACTTCGAGCATGCTACACGAACAGTAAAGAAGAAGCAGCATTGACGACCTACATCACGTGAAAGGCGAACAAGAATAACAACAACAATAACAGATGCGTAAAAAACAACATCTCAACTGTGGCCCACTGCGCTCGTTCCCGAGCGCGCGTGCTGAGATGTCTCTATTTTCCTTGGTTTTTTTTTCTTTTATCGTTCTTGTCGTTTCTTTTTCTTCTTCTTTTTTTTTTATTCTGCCTAAGCAAAGAACCGAGAGAACAGCATCGAACGCGAAAGAGCAAAAGCTGGAAAACATTCTTCGTCTTCTTTTTCTGTTCTCATCATAAAGCTTTTTCCTTTTCAGAGATGTAGAAGCAGTACTACTGACACTAAAGAAGAATAATCAAATGAAACAAAGAAAGGAGGACAGAAAGCAAGAAAGAAAGAAAGAAAGAAAAAGAAAGAATCCATTCTACTACGACCACTACAATACTGCACATAAATAAAACAACAGTCATTATCGTATATAGTTTTTCGAGATGAATGAATATGCTACACTATAAAAAAAAAACCATGCACTGGATGACTGAAGAACAGCAGTTGGAAACCGAAAAGGAAGTTAAAATAGAATAAAAAGAAAAGAAAGAAGTCAAAAAAAAGAATAAAAAAAATTCTTCTTTTTAATAGCATGTTCGTTTCCGGACATGTATCTAACGCGTGTGCATTCGCAATGCATGCAAGCATGAAATGATGATTAGGTGCCGCCATACTCCCTAAGGTGTGCAACATAAGAGCAAGAAGGAGAGAGACACAGCGAGAGAGAGAGAGAGAGAGAGAGAGAAACATAGCAAGCACAGGTGACCAAGCGAAGCACTCACACAATGTGTATGTTGGATCAAATTCAAAAAAAAAAGACAAAAAAATGTGCGCCTCAAGGGACAATAGAATGACGACAAATACTTGTTGTAAGATACTAATGGCAATAGAGTACGTTTGTTCGAATGTAAGAAGAAGTAGTAGACAAGAAAAGCGGATCAAGTAGGCACCATCAAATAATATCACCTATCATGACTTATTACTGGTATATGTAGAATTTGATACATATTGTATACACAAAAACGATATGGTGATGATGATGATGATGATCGTCACCATCATCATCATCATCATCATAGTGATTATCATTGTGCTGCAAAAGATCTATCTATCTGTGTTATGAGAAGGAGAAGAAGCGATGAAGAAACTCGACACCATCATTCGTATGTAAACAGCGATAGATGGATAGATAGATATATAGATAGTGTTTCGGCACCAGTTTGACCTGGATCGTCAAGGATTTTTCCTTTTTCTTCGTTCTGTTCTGTGGATGAATGTTTAAAAAACTATGTATATATACATATACATATATATATATATACATATATACATATATACATATATATGTATACATTCATTTAGAGTTTTTTTTTGTCTTTTTATTCTTCATAAATGTAAGAAAGAAATTGTCTCTCACCAACGAATAAGTCGTAATGTAGTTCAAACAATGTTGATGATAGAAGAAAAAAATGCCATATACACATACTCATACACGAACAGGAAAAAAAGAAGAAAAAAAAAAAAGGGTGATGTGTTAATAACATATAGAACTTTTTTTGCTGCCACGGTGTGTTTCTTTCAACAACGGATAAAACTCAAGAGAAAGAGACTAAGCAAGGAGCATATGAGAGAAGAAAAAGGAAAAGAAAAGCAAGAAAGAAGAGCACTATGGGGAGGAGAAAACAAACAGACAGCATGCTACTATTTGTCAAAGCTCGCTTAATGAAAATGACATATTTTTAAATATTTAAAAAAAAAAGTCAGAAGAAATGAACTACACTACTTCATATCATAATTTGTCAATTAATGATGTTTATATATTTCATTTTCTTCGACCAAAATATAATCAATAAATTTTGTTTGTCTTTAAATCATCACATTAGCACCTGGTATGAATAGTCATCACCAATCATCTTCATGTTATGTATTGTCTTCGAAAAAAGCAAACAGGGAAAAAAAAAAAAGAAGGCAACAACGAATAGGACGACAACTACGATATAGAAGAACAAGAAGAAGAAGAAGAGACACCTTCCTCGTGTATATCATGCTTCACTGATTTCGAACAAATGACATTGGTAGGCAAGCAAGCAAGTAGGCGCATATACACTTAAATGCTTATGGCAAAAAACGACTATCACTGCTGCTTTCATCACTCTATTCTTTTACGTATATCACATCATATGAGTCGATATTTAAATTGAAAAAATACGTTTTCTTTTTTTTTTTTTCTTCAATAGTAACAGAAACCTAAAGGAAATATTCGTGTATTATTTTCGAATATGATGCTAACAAAGGAAGAACCGGGATAAGTTTATTGACTTTTTTTTTTTTTTTTCTTAATACGACCATTGCTGACGATAACAGCCTTGAGAGATAGAGAAAGAAAGGACAGCGAACGAGCGAAACCATGTATTCCGACTATGCACACTTGACTCTTCCTTTTCTTCTCTCATGAGGATAGATCGATGCGAACGATAAGGTCTTGAACTTATCATCTCTCTTCTCTTTCCTTTTCTCATCTTCTTTTTTACTTACATGATTTTTCTGTGACGACAGACAGTTTTCTTCTTTTTCTTTATACGAACGCCTATTCGTGTTCTTCCATCATTCTTCCTTCCTTTTTTTTTCTCCTTTTTCTCGCTCGTTTCTGTTACTTACTACTGTTTGTGTTCGAGTTACCGCTTCACCGTGTGAATAACAAAGCAGCAATCGTCAACATCCTCAATAGTACAATAACTACAACTATTTATTTCTATTTATACAGTTTCTTTACCAATATATTACTGAATAGATCATAAAAAATATATTTCATTTTATATTGATGTTACTGTGCACAGTAAAATGAATATAAAAACAAATACGAAAGAATCAATCATGAAATCTAAACATTGAACTTTTACTTCTTTGTCAACCAAAAGAAAACGATAATTCTAGATGATTGTTAGTTATTTAAATAATTCGAATCAGATAACAAAACTAAAATTCGATACGAATCATAGTAACGTACATAAACATCGATAGAAAAATAAAATCTAAGTGTCAAACAATGAAAATTTGTACATCTAACCAACGATCAACTCGTCTATCAATCATCCGACCATGACACTTATTTTACTATGAAATGTTTCGATTGTCAACAAAGAAACGAAAAGAAAAAAAAAAAAAAAAAGAAAGAAAGAAAGAAAGAATCATACTTCTCTTAATACTTATACATATAGACAAAGTTCAAAAGGTAATAATATCTTTTACCTGAAGTTCAAGCATAATTTTAATATATTATTATAAAAATGATTTAATCAAATATCTAAAAAAAAACAAACAAAACAATCGGTTAACAACGTATATTTCGTTTTTTTCAATATATTTTTTTTTTCTTCTATTTTTTTTATTGTACGAATACAAAGAAGAAGAAGAAAAAAGAAAAAACAATAACAATTTTTTTTTAATTTGTAAATAAACGTATTGTTGAATCAGCACCCGATGTAAATATCCATGGTTGTGTTGGATGAAATAAACAATCTAATATAGATATATCATTAACTATTTGATGTCCACGTAAAATTTTAACTGGTACAATAAGTGGATTTTTTAATAAATCAGAATAAACTGTACAATGTGAAATAATACATGTACCATCATCACTTGTTGAAGCAAATAATGGTAATTTTGTATGATAACGTACACAACGTACAGCACGTTTATGATAACGATATGTTTCATAAGGTTTAACAGATAAATCTAAATCAAACCAATTAATTTTTGAATCATAACCACCACATAATATATTATCACCTAATGGATGTATATCAATAGATGATATCCATTTTGTATTAACATAAAGACGTTTTATTAATTGTTGTTTTAATAAATGATATATTTTAATTGAATGTTGTGTTGCTATGATAAATATAGGTTTTATTGGATGAAAACGTACATGTTGTACAGCACCTTTTAATTGTTTAAATGGATATTGTGAACGTCCTTTAGATAAATGATGAATTATTATAGATTTTGATTGTGATTGATCAGAACGTGGAATTAAAATACATGCTAAATAATCACCACGTCCTTGCCATTCAATTTGACGTATTGGAATTTTATGTGTAATTGTTAAACGAATATATTTATCATTTTCATCAGAGGTTTTTAACCATTGACAATCATCATTATCTGATGAATCATATGATAATTGTTTAATAAATTCTTCAGTAAATGTAACTTTTGCATTTTCACCTAGAATGAAAACGAGATATTCTCATTTTTTTTTCTCATGTATAGAATTTTGATTAGAAAAAAAAAAAAATAAAATGAACTTCTTTTTTCGAAATAATCTGTTATCTTTAATGAAATATTTTCTACAAGTCATAAATCTTATTGATCATATAGATTATAAAGTGAATTACAATTTTCCGATATGATTAGTACGAAAACTTCAAAGTAGATTTCAACAAGTTCTAAGTAGTATATTTTATTATAGTCGTATAGTATAGAAAACGTTACTTAATGAAAAAAATTTCTTTTAATTAAACTACTTATTTGTTATTCTAGAAGAGATCGTTGCACTGAAAACAGAGTTCATTTCAGAAATGTAATTAGTTTAATCCTATAAAACTTAATCCATCTGGACTCTCTATTCTTATTGAAATATTATATGAAAAATCTCGTTCTACATTTTGTCATAAAATGTAAATTTCTCAAGAATGATAAGCAATAGATGATTAGTTTGTCTAACTGCTCATATAACTCTTAGATCTATATCTGTGGTAAAATTGTAACGCAAAAACTTGTGTAGACAGAAAATTGAAAAATAATATCGTTCTAACTAAAAACAAAAACAAAGTGTCTGTCATACTGTATTTCAAACTAATAGGCATGAAAAGAAAACATGAGCAACAGAAACGATATATGATATGATAGAATACTTCAAGCTCTACAAAATGGACTATTCGTTATCTTTTTTCTCACAGTGTAAGTCGGTAAAAGTTTGAATTGAAATTTGTTATGAGACGCTCAAAGATGAGTAACATATAACAAGAAAACAAAGGTTATTGGTCAAATACAGTAAAAAAATTTCTATCATATCAAAAATTTGTAATTCATTCATATGTGAAATTTAAAAAAGAAAAAAGAAAAGTTCGATATCAATAAATTTTGCGAAAAGAATAAATACCTAATTTCGGATTAATCATAAGAATTTGTGATCCTGTAGCAATTGTTAATAATGATAAAATAGGATTCCATTGAATCGAAACAATTGGTTTATCAAATGTAAAAACATTCATACATCTTGCTGTAGCTATTTCCCATATTCTAACAGTACAATCATCACTACCACTTGCTAACCATTGTCCAGATGAATGACATGTTAAACAACGTATAATATTTTTATGTCCTTCATAAATTAATGATTGTACTAATGGATATGGATGTAAATCTTGTGGTTTAGGTTTATCTGGTATGAGATCATTTAAATCAGTTATATTTGCTTTCAAACGTTTTTGTCTTGGACATAAATAAAGATCAAGACAACGTTGAAAACGTTCATAAACAAAATGATCATATGCAGGTACTTGACGTAGACTTGAATATTTTTGTGGTACAAATAATGTTTTTGTTTGACGTTCATTTTCATCATATTCGGATTCCATTTTAGATTTTAATGCTTCAACTTCATCATCATCAAGTAAATACTCAACTGATGGATTATAAGATTCTTGATGACCAGGTAATTCAAGTTTAGGTGCTGGAATATTTGAACGTGGTAAATTTGTTTTTGTTTCATCCGACCATAAATCATAATTATTTGATAATAATGGATCTTCTTTTGGTGGTGCTGGTTTAATCCAACCCATTTTAATTGCATTTAAATATTTTCCTACTTTTAAACGTTCCCATTTTGATGGAATAAATGATGCTTTTGATTCTGGTGAATTTATTATTGGATGTATCATTACTTCAGATGAAAATGTATCTAACCATGGTTCATATGGATGATCATCGCGATATGTTTGAGCATTTTTTATTTGTTGAATTCTTGCTATATCTTCATTTGTTAATGTTATATTTTGTCCAGTTAAATCATCATAAACTGTACGCCAATAATCAGCATTTTCCATTTTTTCAAGAAATTCATCAATTTCATCTGTTTTACCAGATGATATTGGTTTAAGAATTTTTTTAGCATCAAGATCATAACCAATATGATCATGATTTTCATACCATTTTAATGGTATATTTGAACCGATTGTGTTTGATGGGATTTCTTCATCAGAATCAGTTTCATCTGTACTTGCTGATGAATTTCTTCGTTTTATTGATGTCATCTTTCTGAAAAAAAACTTAAAATTGTAATGAACAAAAGAAAATAAAGAATGTTTTATTCTGACGATTGGCTTTATTGAACTGATCAATTAAAACGTAAAAATGCAATTAATGACATCTATATATATAAGAAAATTTAAGAATTGAAAACAAAATAGAAGAAACTAAGAATTTTCTAAAGAAATATCTAAGATTATTATTTGAATATTCAAAAGAAAAAGTCAAGAAATATTTCAGTAATTCAGTGATGCACTATAAGACAAATGAGTCATTGTATCGTCAGTTTGAAAGATCTAACCAATTTTCTTTTTTATCCGAAAAATGTCAACTTATTATCTATTTTAGTTTTGTTTGGGTAATATAGTATTAAAACACACGCTTTTATTACATGTTGCTGAGACGTAGGATATCTTGGAGCTGGATTCGAGTATTTCTTGTATGGATTCGCTCATGCACCGGACCAAAACGTGAAAATGACTTTAAAATATAGAACTCGACGTGCTCTATCCAATGAACACTTTTCTAGGAGACACACATTCTGGAATCCCCTCTAAAAATGCTAATCAAGCCCGAAAACCGGATTGCTTCCGAAAAATCTGTATGGATTCGTTCAAACACCGGAACCCACATGAAAACCACACCATTCGATAGAACTCGACGAGCTCTATCGAATGAATATCTTTCGAGCTCTATTCCATGCTAGAATCCCCTTCGAAAGGACAAATCCAGATCACAGTTCAACATTCATTAGAATTAGTATTGCTTTTCATTTTTTTTGTATCCAACACACAAAAGCGAACATTAATCAATTTTGTTTCCTTTACATTTAAGAGAAAAATATTTTTCTAACTCTTCTTTTTTCTGCTTTAGATTTTAATTTAGATTTTTTTCTAGTCCTTATATCTTTTTTAATTTGAAATAGTTGAGATGATAGTAAATCAACGCCATCCTAATATTTAATTCTATTTTCGTCGAGAAATTGTATATGTGGAGGAAGAGAAAAGAATATTATTGGTGAATAGGATCTTATTTGTATGAAGACGAAAAGCGAGAAAAAAAAAATTTTTTTCTGCTTATCCCTACCTAGTACGTACCCTCACCCAAAAAAAGTCATCAAAATCGAGTTTTTACAGCCTCAAATTGATTGGATAAATTTCTACCAGAAATTCAAGCTAATTTTTTTAGTTCGGAATCTCGCTGGCCGTTTGGAGCCCAAATCTAGATCACGAAATATTCGTGAAACTATCATATAGGTGGCGCTAGTTTTGTGAATATCTCGTGATCTAGATCAGGGCTCGAAATGGCCAGCGAGATTCCNGAACACTTTATTTTTGATTTTTTTCTACGATGCTAAATAGCTAGCTCAAATCCAAATAGTGATTCTGAAAGCCAATGAAGTTTCCTATTTAATGCACTCTACAGCAGAGTTTCATGAGTGAATCACAGTCGAAAGATTTCCAGAAAACTAAAAACCGTGTTTTTCAAGTCCTATAAGACGTTGCTGAAACAAGTTTTTGACAATAGCAATGTTGAAGATCCGAAAATTTTGAAGAAAATGATGGGTCGCTGCGTTTTCTACGACCTTCTATTACAAAGCTACAAGCATCTCAAAAAGCAGGAAAAGTGGTATTTTAGCCGATTTTTCACGTTTTTCTCATAAATTTCGTTTTTTTCTGCTTTTTGAGATGCTTGTAGCTTTGTAATAGAAGGTCGTAGAAAACGCAGCGACCCATCATTTTCTTCAAAATTTTCGGATCTTCAACATTGCTATAGTCAAAAACTTGTTTCAGCAACGTCTTATAGGACTTGAAAAACACGGTTTTTAGTTTTCTGGAAATCTTTCGACTGTGACTCACTCATGAAACTCTGCTGTAGAGTGCATTAAATAGGAAACTTCATTGGCTTTCAGAATCACTATTTGGATTTGAGCTAGCTATTTAGCATCGTAGAAAAAAATCAAAAATAAAGTGTTCTTATATTTTTGTCCAGTACTGTATGTATTATATTATTTTGTTTAAGTACTGAAATGTGTGATGTCTTTAATCTCAACAATTCAATATAGCGGAAATTTCTCAAAATAAATTTAAAATTTTCGTATCTATCTGATCATTTTATTATTTCGGATAAGTTTTGGAATCGCCCAACTCTATCCAGAGACACCTTACTTCCCTCCTGTCACAGACCATATCTCATAATGTCTCGTTGTAATTTATAAACTACTTCCTTATGTCATTTCTAGAAGACAAAGTAAAGTAATGGTGAGATAATGTAATCCAACATAGATAGAACAAAACAATTTAGCAAGAACAACTACATTGTGTTTCATATTTTAATCTCACAAGGATTGCGCTAATAGTTTTTGTTGTATATGGTTAAGACTTTGTACTTTTTATATTTCACTATTATTTTTTAGATTCTAAAAAAAAGAATTGTTAATATATAAAATCTGTTATTTTTTTTTTTAACAGGAAATGCATCATGAAACTGATATTAATGAAAAAGATCTTCAACGTGCATTATTACCATTAGCAATGGGTAAACCAAGTCAACGTATATTTATTAAAGACTCTAAAACAAAAGATATTAAATCAAACGATAGATTTACTATTAATGATTCATTTACATCAAAATTATATCGTGTAAAAATAAACCCAATCACACCTAAAACTGAAAGTGATCCTGAACGACAAGAAACTCGAAATAAAGTTGAAGATGATCGAAAACATGAAATTGATGCAGCTATTGTACGTACAATGAAAACAAGAAAAACAATGTCACATACACAATTAATTGCTGAAGTATAAAATTTCTTTTTTTTTAAATTCAATCTATATTTTCTTTGTGTAGGTTTCTCATCAACTCAAAGCACGTTTTATGCCCAGTCCTGGTTTTATAAAGAAACGAATTGAAAGTTTAATTGAACGAGATTATTTATCACGATTATCCGACGATAGGTAAGTCAAATATACAAGATGACTCATAAATAACTAGATGATAAAGAATATTCAATATCTACAATCTACTTTAATTAATTGAACAGATTTTGAAGATCGAGGATTCGTCAAAGTTTTTCGTTATAAGAAAACTATCCAAAAAAGATACTATGTAGAAGTATAGACCAAGAATATCTCAGCTATTCTTAGGGTTAGAAATGTAAAATTTTCAGTATATATACTACAATAGAGATATAGGTCAGTGATCATCATCTTAGTCTTGTTCGCTTGAAGTGAAAAAGAGTTATGGTCTATGACAATCGTTCTCACTGTAAGTCTTATAACTCAAGAAAGGAAGAAGCTTATCACTTAACTGAACTATCATTATGTAGTTCTTTAATGCATCTATTTACACTATAAATTTTGTCGAATTTTACTTAAGTGTTTAAAAACTGCTGATATTTTACATAATAATAAGTTAGTTAGATCGTAAGCTCTTTCCATTTTTAAGCTATAAAAATCATAGTGAAAAAAAGAAAGAAAACCCAGCTCCATTGATTCAAGCAGATTCGACATATTGAATATTTTTATCAGATAATTATTTATGGGCCACTTTATGTACATTTCTATATATATTTATATAATCCCTTTGTCTTTTTATAGGAAAATGTATAATTATGTAGCCTAAATAAACAAAACGTCATTTTTTTTGTGGTTGTTTTCTTTTTTTTTTTTCGGTTTCCATTTGTGAGATTGTATTCATTCATCTTTTGTCTTCTAATTCGTGTTCATCACATCATCCATGACAATTTTGCACTAATCATATGAGACAGAACTGTCTTCCCTTGTTTCTTTTTCTTCTTCACTTGTTCATTCTATTTTCTTTTTCTTTTCTGCGTTTTTTTTATTTCTTAAAATTTATCGGAGCCTTTTCTTTTTCTTTTTTGTCTCTCAAAAAAAATATATATATGGCTCACGTTTGTATGTGTGCGCGCATGTAACTGTTTGTGTTTATGTGTGAATGACACACACTATGATTAAACGATTTTTGAATGACTATTCAAAAGACCTTTGTGGGTGTTAAACATAAAAGTAGGTTTTTAAAACGAAAAAAAAAAAAAAAAAAAAAAAAAAAATTGGAAATAAAATATTATTTATCAAAAATCTCGCAAAAAAGAACAATATATATCTTCATGCATATATCAATGTACTTCTTTTAAAACAATAACTTATTTAAAGTGCAAAAACTGTAAAATTCAAGAAAAAGTCTTTTCTCTTTGTTTGCTTATGTATGGTTTGATAGAGCTCAACGCAGCTAAGTAACAATATGTAGTTTATTATTTTTTTGTGAAAGCTTTTCGATTAAAAAATTGACTTTTTTTTGATAGTCATGAATTGGCGATTTTTTCTAAAAGTGCATTTTTCATATTAAACTACGGATATGTTTAGATTTGCCATGAAAACTGAGTCTGTCAAACAAATCTTTTACTACTATTCAAATTTATTATCATCATAAACAAAGAGTTCAGTGATATTTTAACAAGTCTGTGAAACTTTTTGTAGCACTATCTAGTTGTTTACTATGTCGTAGTACGTCTGAGTTTTATATTTTATTGGAACTGCCAGACATTGCATTACAAAAGAATAGATTTGGTTTCCGAAAATATTATTTTATGGGAGAAAAAATTCGTTCAACTCTAGTTTAGGATCAACGGTCATAGATTTTCATGAAAAAACTCATACTAATGGAATACTTTGAAATGTACTTGAATCAACTCCAGTTTTTGTGCTGATTCCGAATCTACCATTTTAATTGTAAAATGGCTGATTTTTCAGCGAAGAACATCTTATATTATTGGCAGAATTTCACGTTTTAAGAATCCTGAACTAGAATTAAACAATTTTTTTTTCTCTAATAAAATAATATTTTGAAAAATTCAAACTTCTTTTGAAGTACAATGCTTGACAGTTCTAATGATATATAAAACTTATATATACTATGACGTAGAGAAAGCTAGATAGCTTTGCAAAAAACTTCATCGGCTGATTGAAATATCATTTGATGCTCATTTTATAATAATAGCATACTTGAATAGTACAAAAAATTAGTCTCGCATACTCAGTTTTTCATGGTGGCTCTAAACATATCAGTTTTACAATCCATATGTGAAGCAGAAAATTTTGTTTAAAACAAGAAAATGTATTAATTTTCAACTATGAAAAAAATTGACCATTCAGCATTATCGCAAAAAAAAACCGTTTTTCTTATCAAACGATTTGGAAAATAAATGAATAAAATACATATTATTGTTCAGGCCGTCGACCTTTATGTGACTATGTATTAAAAATCATGAAAAACAGTTTTGCTTGATCTTCACATCTTACATAATGTGAATAATATGTGAAATGCAAAAGTTTTTGACAATGTGTACGAGTGAAAAAAACAAAAGCCATCGGATTAACATCCATTGGGATTCGTGTCGAAAGAATATAGTATGAAATGGTCAATCTGACCGTTTATATCGTCGTTTATAATACATAATTTTTCATCAAGGATCATTAAGTCAAAGAAATTTCGTAGTAATTTGCTTATTTTGAATAGAATAATGACAAATCAGAATGCATCATAGCTAAGTATTTGAAGCAAAGAAAAAAAAAAATCATGTTTACACAATCAACAAATGAGTATTTTACAACTGCATCGTGTCTATTATTTGCTCATAACAGAAAAATTTGATTCATTGATCCATATCGGTACATATTAGCACCCGAATGATTTTTATGCTTCACTCTTTTTTCACCTTTACTTCAATGTTTATTAGGGATTATCAACCGAAACGATGCAATAAGAAAAAAAAAGAAGGTAATATTTTATTGCATATATATATATACATAAGTCAATCCTAATCACTCACCTTGTATTATTAAGCAAAAAAGTGTCTACGGGTGATTGCTTCGTTTATTTATTGAGGTTTTTTTTATGTTATTAGTGCATAAAATATTCTTTTCATTTATTTAGATATAATCCTATCGTTGGTTTTAGACAAATGGCGTTAACATCAGTTTATCCAACTAAACTTTCATCAAATGATAAAGAAAAATTAGATAAATTAGTAAAAGATTTAAATAAAGTTGAATGGGAAACTGGTGAATATTATTTTCATAATTTTGTTGATTATTATCAATTACCTCAAATAATACGTGTTGAACAAGGATGGAATACAAATTTGGCTAAAAATCAATGGATGTACGTAGATACATTATTTGATCGTTATTTAATTATTGCTTCACCATTATCATCATCGGGTAAAACTGGTTCATCAAAACAAAAGTATCTTATACCAGATTGGTTTCAAGGTGAATCTCGTATATTATCAAAAACTCCAATACTTAAAAAACGTTGGTGGATTTTCCAAGGTACATTTGAATTATACCGATTTGATTTACCACGTTCAATAAAAGTTCTTGCTGATACACCAGCACATATGCGTAAAAAAGAAGCATCATCAACTCATGAATGGGATAAAATCGTTTTACGAAAAAATGCTCGTCTTAATGTTGTACGTCGTGAACAATATCAATCACGTATTAAAAATGATAAAGGTGAATTAATAGCAAGTGAACCAAAAGAAGCATTTGTAATTCAAGATCCAGCAACTGGTCATGAATTTATTTTACCACCTGGTGTACCATTACGTTTTGCAACATTAATCGAAGATCATGAATTACATTCACAATATAAAAGTCATGAAGGAACATTTACATTTCCAGAAATCATGATGCGTTATGATTTTCCACTTGATATTGAAATAACAACACATTTACCTGTTGATGTACCCGATTTTAAACCACAAGTTAGATTAGAAAAATTCTGTGTTGCAAAATCTGTTATAGGTTTTCTTTTTGGTCAAGATCAAGCAAAATTAATTGAACTTTCACCATTAACACAATTTACATTACATTGTGCTAAGTATAAAAAAAAAATAAAACGAAATTTTATTATATGTTATTTTTTTCTAAATATTAATATATATATTTTAGATGTTTAACATTTGGTTTACCACGTGAAGGTGAAAATACTGAACCAGATAAAAAAAAAGAAGAAAAATTTGATGAAAAAGAATATCAACGTTATGAAGATATAAGAAGTAAAATAAATATTATTTTTGATGATACAGCAGAACTTCATAGAAGTAAAATTCAATTAGCACAACCCGACGAGGTTTGTTAAGATACATTTTCTATTTAGTAGAAATTTTCTTTTTTTTTTTGCTCTTTTATTTTTAAATATAATAGATTGATTGTGTTGAAACAGCTTTTGAAATAAGTGTAAAAATGAAAAATGAAGAAGATCGACCAGTGGACACGGCTTATTTTACATTAGAAGAAGCAATTAAAGTTGTTAAACAAATAAAAGATGAAGTTCCATTTCCTAAACCACAACCGAAACGATTTACTGTTCATGCTAGTGCTGATCCAAGTAAATAAAAAAAAAAGAATTTCTTCTAATTTTTGGAAATAATTTTATCTAATTTAATATTTTAGGCAATCCATACAATGAAGTTATTGATTTTGAAGATGTGGAGGCACTAAACGAACCTATCGAACCAACTCCACCTGAAGCATCAAAAAAAGAAAGTTCAAAATCGAAATCATCATCGAAAAAATCATCACGTGATAAACCTCAACAACCAACAAATCAATCAAGTAAACGTCCTGCTCTTGTTGTCCAACAGTTGCCACCACCAATAGTTTTACCACCGTAATTGTCTTTATTATTTTATGTCTTCTGTTGAAATCTTAATTAAACATACTGTTTTTTTTTAATTTTTCATAGTGAAGCATTCGAAAAAACTGTCAAAGCCATTCCGGATAAACTCTATACGAATTTTATTCCAGCTACTGTTCTAAAGTATGTTAAGTGATTAGATTATATTTAATGATTAAACTTTTTTATTTTAATAGAAAAACGGATAAAAAAGAAAAGGATAAAGACAAAGACAAAGAAAAAGAAAAAGGCAAAGAAAAAGATACTGAAAAAAAATCAAAAAAAAGTCATAAATGATCATGGAAATAGAAAACAAAAATATAACAAACCAACATTGAACTGTCTTTGATTTAGTTTTATGATTTTTTTACTAAACAAAGAATAGATTAATAAAGTCTAAATAAATAAATAAAGAAGAAAAAAAAGCTCACAATAAATAAATAAATAAATAAACAATATTAATCATTGATCATTAGGCTTCAATGGTGGTAAGCGACGTGGAACGAGATATATCGAAGGTTGGGATGAAATAATCGATGATTGTGTCAAAGTTTTTAATAATACATCTCGACGTGGTTCAAGACGTGAAACTGTTTCGAAAGATTTTATAGGCATTCGACATTTCGATATGGTAATATTCTAGAAAAAATAAATAAAGATTTCATTTTATATTGAGAAGAAAAAAAGAGATAAGACAAAAAATTACTTCAATAGAACATAAATTTGTTAATTCATTTGAATTAGTATTGATGGTATTTTGTCTTGTGAATTGTTCTTTAATATGAGATTTTGATAATGTTGGATCAATATAAGTTATATTAATCTTTTATTTTTTATAAAGAAATTGATCAAAAGAAAAGTAAACCATAATTCAAAAAGAAAATTCTTACTTGATTTAATTTTGTTCGTAATAAAGATGATTTTCGTCGAATAATAAACTAAAACAATTGAAAGAAAACAAAATTTTATTATTGATTTAAATCAACTATAAATTTTTAAAATTATACCATAAATATACAATATGTTAAAGATTGAATAGTTATTGTTATTGCTTTGAGAATTGTTATTGAAAAATTTGGTATAATATCAAGAATATTTAGTAAAATAACAATTGCATTAGTTAAAAACCTATTTAAATGGTAATTATTAGAGACAAAAGAAAAGTAACTTTTTTTTTATTTTACCAAAAAGAAAAAATAATAAACGAATAAAATGTTTTAGTAGAATTTTTAGTTGTTAATATAAGAGATACAATAAACCAAAGACAAGTTAAAAAATACATTATCATTTGAATATAATCACATATAATGAAAATATTTTCATTGATAAATACTCGATCGACATACTTAACGAAGATAAAAAGGAATAAGAAATCTTTATAACATATTGTTAGTTTTATCAACTTACTATTGTTCTAATAATTAAAATAACTATCTGTACATGTACATATAATAGAATAATTAATATTGTTTCTGTTAGTATTTTCTTTTTTAAATGAACACGTATAATTAAATAACCTTTTGCACAGAGAATTAAAATAAAAAGACATAATATGTCAGCACATATATGAAACAGTCGAGCAAGAAATATTAATAGTTGAAATACAAATCCATCGGTATTTCCTAATAATGCAAAAATAAATATTTTAATAAAACATATCAAACTATTAAGCCATGAAAATAATATTGAAATAAAATATAATTTAATTATTAAAGAAGATTTAGTTTTTGATGAATCTAGACAAAAAAAAAACACAATTATTCTTTCGTTTTAATTCTAAATTCAAATACAACACTTGCATATATATCTAAAAATAAATAATAAAATTATGGTATAGATACTTGTACTAACAATATATAATTGTAATATTCCTGAAGTATTTAAAAAAAAAATATTTTATTTAATAAAATTTAAAATATTTTATTACCTCGTTCATCATCAGAAAAATGTTTCATAAATAAATTATGTCCATTTGTTAGGATTAATTTATATGTAAAAGATGAATCCTATTTATTTTAATAATTCATATTTATATATATGTTTAACAAAGAAAAGAAAGTCGAAAATATATTTACAGTTGTATTTAAACTGGAATTACATATACTTAAAATAAAATACATTTGACCAATAGTTGTAAAAGATAATGATAGAACCTCTAAATTTGTTTCATTACTAATCGAATTTAATTGTAATTCGTTTTTTAAACAAATTTTTGATAAATCATTTTTTATTTCTTTCCATTCGTATTTATTTAAAACAAAAAATTTTATTATATTATCATCAAATGACTGTAAAACAAAAGTTTGAAATTTTAATTTTCTCAACAATAAAAAAAAAATATATTTTAAAAGACTCACATTTAAATTTATATCAATATGTCCATGAATTGGATGAAAAGAAAATTTTGTTAAATATAACCAATTCTATAATATAAATATTGTAAAAATAAAAGACAGAAAAACTATAAAATAATTTGTCTTTTACTTACAATATTTGTATTTATAGTATCAAATATTATTTTGCTAGAAGTTTTGTTTAACAAATAAATTATTGTTATGAACCATAATAAGATAAAGTTCATTGTTTTCTGTTACTTGATTTCTTCTTTTGTTTTCAATGATTGATAGACAACATCGATGCCAACGCACATCGATTTTATTCTCTCGATTTCTTTTTTTTTTTTTTTTATGTAAGGCAGAAGAAAAAAATGAATAAAGAACGAACAAAG